TATTTATTTTTGGGACAGAGAGAGACAGAGCATGAACGGGGGAGGGGCAGAGAGAGAGGGAGACACAGAATCGGAAACAGGCTCCAGGCTCTGAGCCATCAGCCCAGAGCCCGACGCGGGGCTCGAACTCACGGACCGCGAGATCGTGACCTGGCTGAAGTCAGACGCTTAACCGACTGCGCCACCCAGGCGCCCCGGAAAGATATTTTTAAGACAGGAAACAGCATGCATGTGCTGTTAGCGTAAACGCTCGAACTACATTAGAGAAGTAGAAGTTAATTAGCCTGGTCAGCTCTGCTATAGTGCTTGCTTTGTAACAAGCAAATGTGTTCAAATGCAATTAATATTCAGGGAACAACAGAACATAATGCAAATTTCGCATTTGATGACGTGCAATTTCATCCGCAAGAAGCATTAGGTGAAAGCAGAAAACTACACCCAGCTGAAGAAAGCTACACAGAAATTCACCAAATGCACCCAATTACATACCTCAAACATCTACCACCTACCTGAGATCAGAGAGTATATTACGAGTTACACCATCACACCTGCAGTTACAACTTACCTTCCACTTCTGATAATCCTTCTACTACCACCTGACAATAATTCACTAGCTCCAATCCTCTGACAACCACTTTCACAAGCAAAGTTCAGGATTTTTTGAAGGCAAAGTACCATATTTATTGTAGTAGTTATGTATTTCTTAACCATTTAACACGTGTGACCATGCTACCGTTTTATTAGGTTCCTTTTTTTTTTTTTTTTTTAACGTACAACTGACAAAGTTTTGTGAGTGTTTTGCTCCAGCCACCATTTGCACCATAAGCCCTGTGGTTTTTATTACATGATTTTGCACAGCATGAGGATTTGAGGAATGCCTGTGTCCCATTCTGGCATAGCTGACTATACCACCAGCATAAAGTGTGTGGGAGGGAGGTCAGCTAACCTAAGAAGTGCTGCTTGTCAGCCATTATTATTCACTTCCACTCCATGTTTTATTCTCACAATCCCATCCTTAAACCAACTCACCAAAGTTAGAGGCTCCCATCACTCAAAGATTTAAAATGCATGCCCTGACCTTCCTTGGACAAAGCAGAGTAAGAGGGGACAAATTCTCTCTCAACCTGTCAAATATGCCCTTACTTTTCCTCTTAATGTCTTCTCTACAAAAAGTTGTTCTGCCTTCCCTCACATGGAATTTAAAATCAAGATTCCTTTAATCTTGGCATTTGTTTACTTGATCATATGTTCTTAATGTGCCAATGATTATCTCTGATTATAATTACTCAAGGACCACATTTGTGTTTGGCAAGATGCTTTTAGTAAGAGATCAGGATAATATCTAGTTCGACTGTAGCAATTTCTGCAAAGAAGGGAAGAGTAAAAATAAGAACCCAGGATCAGATGCTCTGACAATACATGCAGCTCAGTGAAAAAAAACTGCATTTACATGCATCGTGCATGTTGCACTTCTAGACAGCACACAAGGTCAAACCACTAACTGTCAGTTACAATAAGCTTCCAAACTTCTGGTCAATTACCTGGTTAATAACAAAAGACAAGGCTATGACATCATTATAGTTATAATTAATTTACACAGATCAGCTTCCAGTTAATCAAATACATCTTTAAAAGCATTTAATTATTTTTCACCTAGAAAGCAACACTCAGCTTTGTTAAATAAAAAGCAATCTTGCTGAATTCAACATGAAAGGTTGTCAGGCTACTCTCAGACATAAAGGACAAAAGGCTTCACAGGGCATACAGCTGCAACGTGGGAGCTGCTGCCGCATTCACAGCAAACAGAAGCACAAGGTGATGGCTGATATAACACATCTGAACAGTTTCTGAACATAACGAAGTTGTCAGGAAACAGGGTAAACAGGCTTTGGGAAAAGAAACGTCCCAATGCTTTTTGTCAAAAAGATATACGGGGCCAGCAATATAGACGTATGTAGTATAGGACAGTCCTTAAGGGCGTGGTCTTTGGTGAGAGCTCTACAATATGCCTTAGAAAATGTATTTGATCACCAGTTTCTCACCTGTAAAAGGACATAATGCAGGCTCACTGGGTTTCATGAGGATTAAATGAGATTACGTAGATCAAATCATAAATTGGGAAGTGATAGTGTTTTTAATCCATACAAACAAATAAAGACCTAAGATTAAAAATTTTAAATACCTTTCAAGTATTTTTATAACTGAGTAACCAATTAGCATTTTTCTTGGCTTTCTATGATCCACTGTTTAAACTACATCATATGATTGAAGTCCACGTACATTTTGAAAACAGTATGATGGGGTACGTGGTAGGCACATCAAAGTAGGAACTATTTTTTAATTAAAATAAATTTTATAACAAAGTCTCAAACCAGAGTTCCCGTCAACATGATCTGATAATTTGAGAATTTAATGAGTCTTTCCAAAAAAAATTTCAATATGTCAGATGGCAAAATTTTTATTTTCTTTGCTCCTTTTTAGAGTGTTATAGTCTTAACAGAAAGGATTATATTATCTTTATACATGAAAAAAATGAAACCACTGGATTTTGTATATAATCTTGACTTTTGCTCCACGGTGAGGGGAAATTAGTGCCAACTCCAATTGTGATCCTTCACCACTTATGATTTCCAGTATCAATCATAAGTCGGTCCCTTCTCTCACAGACTACACGTCTTAGTGTAATGAGGGCTCATTAAAGTTCTCCGACTGACAGCCCTTCAGACGTAGGTCCTTAACCCGGAGACACATGCAGAGCTGCAATACTCCCCATCACTCCCTTCTAGAGGATTCAAGTAAATTCCATGCTCACCTTTGCTCTGTGCCAGATTTCTTTGTTTATCTGCCTAAAGTCCATGAAAAAGTGCTCGCCATCCCCCCATTTAATCTCTGTGTAAGAACTGGTAATGAATTATTCATGTGACTGAAATCCTCCCAGCACAGGAACAAGTCAAGGGGGAGAGGAGCACGCCTGACTTCAGAGATGCTGTTTATGTGCCCACAAAGCACATGGGACGGCCACTAAGCAGCAGGTGGTGGGGTCGGCTTGGAGCTTTGGCCTGCCGGACAGCATCAATACTTCATTCTTTCAGGAACAGGAAGTTGCCTCCCAGCCTTACCGGATGTGGTCCTGGTGGGGA